CCAGCACTCAGTGGAGAACACGCCTACAGGGAGACTGCTCCACAGACTGCTGCCCCCTCCCCCACCACCAAAGCCGCCAGGAAGGGAACTCAGCGCCTTGGTGTAGGTGAGCAGTCACCGAGAGGGGGCAAGCTTCTCCCACAGACAGAAAACTCCAAGACTGAACTGTGTGTCCTCAACATCTATTAAGAGTCCTGTTTCTATGGCAGTCTCATGTCATGGACTTCTAAGTCAAAATTCTCCAAACAATATATATGTAAGCAAGGTCAGGATTTTATTTGGTTTTGCTTTCGGTCCTTTTTTCAAATGCCAGAGAGCGCAAAGAGAGGGGCTGGACTTGAACTGCAGTGTCGTGGGTCACAGGCTTCAGGCACGTATCTTAGTGCTGTGTTTTGAAGCTGCAACCAAGCAGTCTGTAGTGGATTGAAACACCCTGCCCAAACATACACGCATGCACACATACACAGAACCTGTGTGGTCAGGAACATCTGCATTTACTCTCCTGGGTCTTCAAGCACACTCATGAGAGTTCAGTCATTAACATAACATGACTGAGTAACTGCTACCAGCTCCCCCAACCCCAACAAAACTGACTGTGACAGCTTCCAGGAGCCCAGGGCTAGCGAACACCAGCAAACATCCACACCTCTGTCTGCTCGGTGCCTTGTGGAAGATCTAATTCTTCTTAAACTTGTGGTAGATCTGAGAAGACTCAGCAAATAACATAAACAACCCCACCCCTGAAAAGGTCTATTTGTGGGGAGAGCATTCTGGGACTTCCAGGCCCAGGAAACCCGAAAAACTAACGCAGCGTGGACATGGAGGGTAGAGTCACAGTCACCTCCTGAAACAGTGCAGAGGGAATTACTGCAGCAAGATCTAGCGCTTGACTGGGGCTTCCTTTTCTCTTCAAAGGCTTGATTGACAGTTAGTGCCCCAAAATCTTTCACTAAGACCAAAGAAATAAAACACTTGTGACAAATATAAGCTGATCATGAAGCCACTTGTCCCTTCCGCACATTTATGAGACTCCAAGTCTAAGTAGCACTGGGTGGGGGCACAGTGGACATGTGACCGACAGGCCTGAGTCTGTCACACAGGGTGACTCTCGGTGGCACCACTCATTACAAGGTAAGAGTCCCTCATTAAAGCGTTTGTCAAGCTTGCTTTGAGGCAGCTAAGGGACAGATAAAAGAGTCAAGATATTTTTAGTCTTCCCTTCTACCACTTAGAAAAAAAAATCTTTTCAAGTTTGGCAGAGATGTCGCTGGGAATTTCAGAGAGGTCAGATCTTGCGTGTGACAAAGCCAGCCGGTTCTAAGGGCTCCTGATGCACAGAGTACCATGTCCTCTCCGGAGCAGGTACTGGGAGGAGTTTCATGGGCTGATCTTCCAGTGAGGTCACCGCCTTCATAGCTATTTCTGTGTTCTCATGAAAACACAATGCCATTTCAAGGATTCCATGTTCCAACGACATTATCACGTGCCCAGATATCAGACCGCCATATTCATTTATAGATGGACTTGTAAAATGTGACTGCCAAACTTCATTAACTGGATCATGTCCATCAGCACATAGTGACTGCTAAGAGGGTCTGTTCCCAACCTAATGGTGCATTCTCTTCCTAGGGACAATTACCAACACTGAAGTTATCAGATTAGTCTTCTGAGATGAACTCATTATTAATTTCCTATTGAACTCCTAACCTGTCTTTTCTACTATCATATTTTAAGTTTTGGGGTTCCTAAGAAAGAGAGTTAAATAAATAGATGACACAGCCAGGCATATCAATAGAAGTTCAGCTCGTAAATTTGTCATCTGACGAGCATGAGCAAGTGACAGGCGTGTGCAGGTGAAGGTGAGTGCAGACATGGGTAAGGGACAGGCTTTCCAGGATCGAGAAAAAATTAATAAAGACTTTGTTCATCGTTCCTCACTGTCATCACCAACACAGGTATGGCCAGGAAGGCCAGTGAGTTCTTAAAAAATGTCAGTTTGAGTTCAGTCATTCCTAGGCATCTTTATCCTCTTAGCAAGGGCTCCTGTGCCAAGGGCCTTCACTGCTAACAAACCAGTTTCTGGTCCTCTGCGAGTCCTAAGCTAGGCTGAATACCTGTTGAAACCTCAGGCAGCGGCTCATCATCAGGCGGGATCAAAGTCAGCATCAGGGCAGTGTCGCGGGGAGGTACAAGTCCAGGTGAAGGAGAGCCAGGAGGAGTTACTTCCTCCGTTACCCACTAACCGTCACTGCTCAGTTGTTGACAAAAGTAGTCCCAGCAATCAGACGGGGAAAACTATAAACTATTCCCGGACCAACCTGATGCCCTTGCATTGTGCAGTCTAAAGTCTGCTGCACACCTCCTGTTCGGAAGAATACCCAAGTGTTTGTAGGCGCTCCCCTTCCCCGCCCCAAACAAGCATCTAGGGAGGATGAGGTGGGTGAGTCAGCAGCTGTGAAGGATCTTGGCTTTGCTGGACCAAGTTTGTGGTTAGAAGCAGGAGTCCCCACTCCACACTGCCCAGGCATCAGCCAGAAGTGAACAGACTCCACATTCGTCTCTACCAGAAAGCAGTCCTCCGCTACAGAAAACCACACAGCAGTTTTCTGTCACAGCAATGGAAGGAACATTTGTGTCAGCTGACCAGTGTGCCTCTTCCACTGCCAATACTGCTGCCACCGAATCCCAAGAGGTAGGCCAGCAGCAGGCACCCTGCTGGGACAGGACTGGGGCGTGTCAGAGGCGAGTCACCCCACTGCAGACACACTCTGGCCCTGCACTGTCCTATCTTATTTAGCTTTTACCATCATTTTTAACCCATGCCTCCCCACTAGGAAATTAGTAGCCCCGAAGGGAAGGACCAACTCTTGGGGGCTGTTTTATCTCTGTCCCCTCTAGTATCCACTCCAAACAGGTTCACAGCACACACGAAGACCCTGCATGGGTCCTCCGTGAGCCTTTGCAGACAAGTTCGTCAAGGCTCAGCCAAAGCAGGAGTGATGGTGCATGGGGCAAGCACTTGTTGCTATGGAGAGGACCGGGGTTCAGCTCCTAGCATCGGCATGGCTGCTCAGGTTCCAGGGGAGTCAACACTGTCTTCTGACCTCTGACAGCACCGGGCACCCATGATGCACAGACATACACATAGGCAAAAGGTCATGTGTATAAAATAAATAAATCTAAGGATATTTTTCTAAAAGAGTCAGTCAAGTTTCTTAGGCTTCGCAGTGGAGTTCCCTAGCCCTCGGTGCCCTAGGTCAAGAGCTCTCTGCTGAGGAGGTGCTGTTTCGTGTCTGTTACAGCAACCATTGCTTACCCTAACCACAGGAAGACTTTATCTTTTCACTCCCATTTTATAGAAGAACTGAGACACTAATCAATTTAATTGTCACAGATACATGGCATTGTGATTGAAACTGAGTGTATACAGATCAAGAGATTTGCCCACAGTCACTGCGATGGCCTCTGCACATGTGCACACAGCTCCACTGACAGCCGTGTGCCAACCCATGGTGTCTACTGTACACATCTTAGTTGCTGGCTAAACTTGAAATAGACTTGACTTAGATATTTAGAGCTGACTAGAATTTTCTAGAAAACAGAAATCAACTACCACAGGCCAAACACCAGCTGTTCCCTTTCCCCTCATTAGAAACCCTACCGTAAAAGCCACCGTCACAGAGTGTTTCGTCTGCCCCTAAACCAGGTGTGGCCTTCCACTGTGATATGAGAACACCCCAATTTTACACTCTAAAATGAATCTACTGCCCTAAAAGGAAGATACCTGAGGCCTGGGTTAGGCTTTTTGTTTTTAGATTTTGTTGCTTTTAAATTGCTTTCACATGTGTTCATGCATATGTCCATGAGAATTACACCATGTGGGTGCAGGTCCCCATAGATGCCAGGAGAGGGCGCTGTTTCCCCAGGAGATGGGGTTGCAGGTTGTTTGTAAGCTGCCGATTCTTTTCTTTAAGAGAGTATCTCCTCCCGGGGCTAACCTGAAACTGCTCGAAATTCATGATCATCCTGCCTCATCCTCCCAAATCCCAGGAGAGGCTCACAGCAATGGCTGTGCTCTCCGCTCACAGGCCGAAGCAGTGGCTGAGCTGCTTCAACACATTTCCAGACTTCAGGAAGGGTGGGCTGTGACCCACACCTCCCAAAGCCCCAGCAGCAGCTGTACCTTGACTCGGCTCTGACAATTCCAGAGCTGGGAGATCTTACTAGGTGGGCTTTTGCCTTTTCTCAGTTCATCAAGTAGACTTGTGGGAAGCAGTTCTTCCCCTGGGTAATCTGTTTCAGAAATTATCGTTGTAGGTAAAACAGGAAATCTCAAGCCACAAACACTCAAACATACATGCACACAAACACTCACACACGCACGCACACACAAATGCTGAGTTCAATGGGATAACCTTATAATTGCAGTTCCTGAGGCAGGAGACTGCCATGAGGTTGAGGCCAACCTATCTCAAAAAAGAAAGATGGGGGAGAGAAAGAAGCAGGAAAAGAAAAAAGAGGTGGGAGGAGGAGAGAGAGGATGAAGGAGAAAGAAAAAGAGAAGAAAGAAGGAAGAAGAGCCACTGAAATACCTTGGTCTCATCTGCCAACGGTTTACCCATAGATGCTTTCAAGTTCAGAAGAATCATCAATCCCTAACCTTGCCCTCCCTCCCTATTGACTGCATCAAGTGAAAACTGAGACCAGGGTAGCCTTCCAGATCAGTGTGAGGCACTGTCAGAGGTTTCTAGTTGCACTTTGCAGGAAGCATATCGTTTTTACGATATGAGAAGAGAAGGCTCATCTTCTGCTAGCAGGTGATAATACCCTGAAAAGATAAATCTCCTACAGCAGGGACTGCAGGGACGCTCACAGCCACCTTGGGCCTAGTCACACACATAGTGAGAGTCAGGGAGACAGAAACGGTTCTGCCCCACGATATTCTCACATGGCTCATCAGTGGGCGACCCCAGAGAGAGCCCACAGGGAAACTTGCCAGCTATCTTTAAGAGTTGTGTCTTTCTCAAAGTGTCTCCATCTTTCTTTGATGGACTTCCTGGAAGACACGGATCTGGTAGCCCATATCTGCTCCTCTGACAGAGTCTCCAGCTTCCCTTGCTGCTTATGAAAACTCAGACAGTCACAAGACACAGTGTGATGACCGCTGGAGGGTAACCTGTGGGCACAGAAAATGACCAGGGTCAAAAGGTTGCAAACTAAGTCTCCAAGATGGCGGTACTCTAAATGTTGAAAAATTCAAACTAGATCCTAGTATTTAAGTCAGATATGTCTTAATTCTAGTGGACTCATTGTGATACTGTGTTTATCCTTCTACTCTGCATTATCAAATCAGTATATTTGCCTATTTCGAAAATACCAGTCAATAAGCATAGATATTATATATACATACATCATATATATGAACTTAAAGCATTAAAATATAGAAATGCTATGTGTAAGGCATGTGTGGGCCTATGATTGTCAGATAAACACTCTTATTCCCAGCATGTCTTAAGGAAATACACACGTGGGCACCAGTGACTTTCTCCATGGTCAGGGACTCCTAACGGCTGAACCTCAGTCATGACTATTTTAGAAAGATAAAACCCAGGCTTGTGTAAAATTCCTATCAATGTTCTCTATGACATCAGAATAATTATAACTCATGTTACACTGTTGACTGGGGGTGGTTACTAGGCAGCACACACTAGAAGAACATCATCAACTCAGCTAACACACAAGCATTATGCTGACCACAGCTGTAATTGGGGATCTTACTGTAGACCCTGCAGTGGACGAATGTCCACCATTGGTCAGGTCAGTCTCCCAGGTGACATTCACTCCAGGACTCCTAAGTGAGGTAATGTGTGAAAGTCAACGCTTCAGTCGCTGGTCATAACTGAATCCACACTGGAGGAGCTGGGCAGCCAAAAGCAGCCTCCTCCTTTTCGGAACGCCTGGGGGAAGGGTCAAACTTGGTGAGAGCGATGAAGGTGGCCTGGTGGGGATGTGTGTGATCTCGTCAGGACAAAGAACTTTAGCCGGAGGTCCTTAGACAGAGAAGATGCTCCCGATGCTTGCTCCCCAGGAAGGTGAATTCTGGGTCATTCTAGATGCACTGGAAATAATCACACCAATTATTGGGCCCCAAGGAGAAACCAGTGAGGTTTGAGAGGTGGCAAAAAGCCTGTGCGCTGTAAATGCTGCTGTAAAATTACAGATGTCTGTTGAGCCAGGCTCTCCCTGCGCAGCTCCAGCCTTAAAACAGTGACTACCGCTCTGCCCTAGAATGTTCTGCAAGCAAGCAAGAAAAAAGTCCCATGTGATTGCAGAGCAAATAATCCCTGAGTAGAAAACAAACCAAAAGTAAGAAAAACAACAACAAATCCACATATCAAGGTGCATCAAATTTCACAGAAGTGCAGCTAAAGCCACAGCAGGAACCATGTGGTTCTGAGTAAATTTATCAAAATACAAGAAAGATGGAAAGTGAAGTATCTAAGCCTGAAGCCCAGGCAAATGTGCAAAACTGAACATGCACTTTTAAGTTGTAGTTCTGTTCAGCACTGTTTTCTCAGGTTTGAAGGGTGTAAAATCACACCCATGAGGCTGGGGGTACCTAGGCCAACAGATGTAACTTGATTATGTGTCTGTGTGCACTACTACCTCAGCCCCTCCCTGAGACCTATAAATAGAAAAAAACAAAAGAAAACAAGACAACAACAACAAAAAAAAATTCTTGGAAGTCAGTAGAACTTAGATATAGTTAAACAGCCACTCACATGTAAGTACAAGAGACAATGCCTGTGTCCCTTCTGGCTTCTGCCCGAGATGGTAGATTCTCTGGGTAATGTGTGGTTTTGTGCAGTAAAGCAATATGCCACAGAGAACCATGCCCACCTGACCTATGCTGTGCACACTCTGTCTCCAGCTAGGACGAACCCTGAGGAGCCCCTTCATGAAGTTTGTAGCCCACGCCGTATCGTTTACCATCTTCCTGGGACTGCTGGTCGTGAACGCATCTGACCGCTTTGAGGGGGTTAAGACCCTGCCCAATGAGACCTTCACAGACTACCCCAAACAGATCTTCAGAGTGAAAACCACACAGTTCTCCTGGACGGAGATGCTCATCATGAAGTGGGTCTTAGGTAAGCCACCCTCTTTCACTCCTCTGACTGACGACGCCTTCTAGACTCCCCTTTTGCTGTGTACACTCTGGGCTGATGCACCGGCCAACACAAAAGTCAAGAAGTGTACAAGAGGCAACAGAAACCCCAATTTTGAAAGGAAATGTTTGGGAGGTACCCACTAGGTACTCTTCCATACAGTGTATTGATTATGATTATAAAGTGGCTTTACCTGGGAAATGAAGGTTCCCTCTTCCCAGTAGACACTAGCTTATGCCATTATGAAAAAAAAAATATAGCCGAGCCAATACAGAGAGTAGCATGCGTTATTTGTTTAAATTAGTGTGCTAAAAAGGTTGTAAGATTCCTATCTGTGGTGATATTTTATGCTGTCAAGGTTTGTCTTGACAATAAATGGCTAATTTGAATGTAGAAAATTGCTATTAATTTAATTTCTAACACTAAAACCTGCAAATAGATAATGGGAGGGGAAATGTCTCAAGGAAAAATATTCAAAATGTGCTAAAGCTATTATCAATAATATAATAAGCAAAACTTTAATAAATGGAAAGCTTCATATTGCAAAGATTCAAATTTAATAGGGCTAATTCTAGTAAAGTGAAAGTTTAAAAATAACTGAAATAAATTTATGTAGTAGCAAGAGTTGATCCATTAATTAAATTGGTTCAACAGCATTCACCCAGATTTTGCTTTGGTGGCAAATGTTTAATATTTGTATAATTGTCACTATGTTTGTAAGTATTAAGTCAAAAAAGTGTTCAGGGCTGGAGAGATGGCTCAGTGGTTAAGAGCACTGGCTGTTCTTCCAGAGGACCTGGGTTCAACTCCCAGCAATCACATGATGGCTCACAACCATCTATAATAAGATCTGGTGCCCTCTTGTGGCCGTAGGCATACATGCAGGCAGAACACTGTATACATAATAAAATAATTAAATCTTTTTAAAAAATATTCAGTATCAAAGTGTTTATGCCATTAAACAGCAAAATCATGGACAGATATGTAAAAAGTTATGCAACACATGGCCTGTACTGACATGTAGCCCAAAAAGGTGACAAGAGTTGAATTACCAGAGAGCATAATAGTGCCCAAGCTGAGATCAACTGGAAACATGGACCCTACATGGACCACAAATGAGGATGCTTTGACTTAGAGCAGTCAGAACAGCATGCCATGCTTCTCAGGGTCATGTGACCAACTGAAAAGCCTGTGGCTTCATTGTGGAGTCATTGACCCTAACTCTGAAAAGAGACACTGAAGCCTGGTATGGGTTAGATTATGGCCTTTTACGGTTCAGAATCTAATCCAGGTCTCCCTTGGACATCCTGGGTTTAAAAAAAAAATCAAACATTTAACACTAGGTACTTTCAGATATTCACACACTGAGTTTATTGTAGGCAGAAGTTTCCGTCCCACAAGCCTCTCCCCAGTAACCACAGAGGATTAATAGTAATTATAAATCCTCAACCAGTAGCTCAGGTTTATTACTAGCTAACTCTTACATTTTCAATTGGTCTATAATTTTATCTACAACTTGTCATGTGGTTCGGTAACTTTTCTCAGTATAGCATGTCCATCTTGCTTCTCTGTGTCTGCTCACTACCCCCTCTGACTCTACCCTTTTTCCCAGCATTGTTTGTCGCTCCTTCAAACCTTATCCTGTCCAGCTATTGGCCAGTCAGCTTCATTAAACCAATAACAGAGACATAAATTCACAAAATGTAAAGGAACATTCTACAGTTTAAGTAAAAATGTGTTTACAGGGCAAATTCTGTACTCACCCCCTACATCTAATCAGCAATCAGTGTTTGTTAAGAGGGAGGCAAGTGGACTCCTCTCTCCCTTCAGGTCTTCAGATCCCACGGAGGACCTGAGCAGCCAGAGAGCACCCTGCTCCCACTGTGGGAGCCTGAATGCATCTGGGACAGAAGGGGTGGAGTGGCCTAAAGTCGAGAATCAGCAAACTGGATATGTTCCAAACAAGGATTTCTGAGACCTTCATATTCAGGGAGAAGAGAGGCGATGGCAATAGGGGTGGAGCCGTTGTAGCTTTTAACAGAGGTGACATTACATGGCTTCAGTTTTTCCAAGAGTGCTGTGTTAAGAATGGATGGTTGTGGGGCAAGAATAGAACAGGGTGCCAGTTACAAAGCCCCTATAGGAGTTGGACATCAAATGGTTAGTGAGAACAGGTCATGCTTTGAAGGTAAAATCAATATTTACTGCTGAATTACCTGTGAGATGTGAGAAAGGGAGAACTATCGGGAACAATTTCTAGTATTATAGCTTGCAAAATGGTATCAAAGAAAGTCATTCAGTAGGATGGGAAAGATTAGGGTGGCACGTGGCGGGACGGAGGGGATGCAGACTCCGGTTTGAGATGTACACTATAGATTTTCTTCAAAGGGCAAAGATTTATACCATCTGGAGAGAAACTGGAGTATATAGGACACTGAAGAGAAGACGCCAAGTGCTAAACGGATATGTGTGTCTGAACTCTGGAGAAGCCGGGGGCTAAAACAAATTGAGCATGCAGTATATTTAAGCAAATTATGATATCACTCTGATTTTGAAAGTGGACAGATAAACTAAAGATCAAGCCAGAGGCCACAGCAGTGTTAGCACGGGGAAAGATGAGCGCTGTCTAGCAAAGGAAAAGGAAATGCTGAGTAGTGTGCCACAAGGCAGAGTAAGGAGCCAGGAGTGTTACCAACAGATCATGGGAGGCTGCATCCTGATGTGGGGGCATCTGGAAGCAAAGCTCCTGAGGAGATGACAAGAAGTATGATCTAGTGTCCATGTCCAGGACTTGGCCTTATGAGGGGCATGGGTAGGAGCCCAGGTCCAGCTGAGGGCACGGAGTACATGGTGTGGCTGATATGGTGCTGGAGGTGCTGATGGTCTTGCCTGGGCACACGGTGTGGCTGATATGGTATCAGAGGTGCTGATGGTGTTGGCTGGGCACAAAGTACACAGTGTGGCTGATACGGTGCTGGATGTGTTGATGATCTTGCCTGGCATTTTCTAGTGCATCACTTTTTCTCAACAGGTCCATCTAAATGTTAAGCATTTTATCATGTATTAGGCAGCCAGATATTAGGGAAACAACAATGAATATTACTAGTGTAATCTTGCCCTAAATACCTTCTGGAGTTCTTTACTTGTTGCAGAAGTAATGACTTTAAAAGATCGGATCATCATCTACAGAAGGCTCTTTGCACTGACATGCCTTGAGACCCAGCATCCAAGCCAGTCTCTGCTGAAATACAGGAGAGTATGAAGTAGCATTATCCCCTGCTGATGGCCTTGGACTTCTTGGACTTCTGTTCCCTGACACGACTAAGGACGCCTTTTACTGTCTGCCAACAGAGATGCCCAAAGCTCTGGTCTGTTGCACTCCAGATGTGTAGAAGGCTGGGCATGCTGGGCATGCCGGCTACACAACGACACAAGCCATCGCTCCCTCCTCACCACACACAGCTGCAGCTTGAGCGGTGATCAGTCCTAGGGTCTTGAACAAGCCTCGCCTGTTCCCTTCAGATATGGAGGTCTTAGCCACTGAGAGGTGAAAGGTCTCATCCAGGCCCTGCTTCTGCCCTCCCCTTTCCGTGCCTCAACACAGAAGTGATAGTGACCTATTTAACCCTAATCCTCGTCACTCTGCCTCAGAGCTTCTCATGGCTTTCCATCTCGCTTCCAGTGGCAGCCAGTGCGGTTACTACAGCCTACAATGGCTTCCACTCCCCAACCCCTCTCTCTAGTGTCTCTCCATCTTCTTCCTCCCACTCACTGCATCAGCCCCTCTGCTCTCCTCGTCTGTTTCTGCCTCTGAGCCTCCGCGGCTCTTCTTCCCATGGGGATCTGTGCCGTTCTATCTCTGTCCAGGTACTTCTGTGAGAAGGATCCGGGGATGGACGCCAGAGTCTCACATATGCTAGGCAAGCAGTCTGCCGCTGACTCGGGCCCCCAGACTCTCAAAGGTCTTCTTCAAATGAGGCCTCTATAATCAACCTGCTCAGAAAGCCAAGTCCTCTTCTTCCCCCAGTCGCTTCTCTTTCTCCCTAGCTCCAAGACTGACCAGACCATGTGGTCTTCATCCTCTCCTGCCTGACTCAGTGTTTCTGAAGCCACCCCACATACAGCTGACTCATCCTCTCCATGAGGGGGCAGGGATCTGGCTTCCTCAATGATTTCCTTCAATAGTCACATGGCACAGCCCTGCAGTCTCCAGCCCCGTGGTCTCCAGTCCCGAGGTCTCCAGCCCCGCTGGATGACTGCCTTAGGAGAGCAGACCATGGAGTAGCCTGGAGGACACCCAACAGCTGCCTGGCTTCACATCAAAGCAGCGACTCTGGGGTACTGGAGAGCTTGGCGGACAGTCAATTAAAGAGCATGTCTCTAAAGATGCCCTCAGAGAACTATGAAGTCCTAGAGAGCCACGAAGAACAGAAAGACTCTCCGAATCCGAGTTCCGCATCTAGGAATCTTTCTGAGGAAGACTTTCTCTCCCTAGTCTCTGAAAAGTCCGCCATTAGTTGTCTTTTTTTTTCATGAGTTATTTATCCACTCTCTCCTGACAGGGCAGACATGCTCACATGTGAAGGCTGACAGGCGTGCACACGTGAAGGCTGACAGGCATGCTCCCATGTGAAGGCTGACAGGCGTGCACACATGTGAAGGCTGACAGGCAT